CTATATTATATGATATAATTACGTTACAATATATTATATATTATTATAGAATATTAAATAAATATATTATAATTTATAACTATATTATAAATTAATTATTATATTATTATAACTATATTATAATATTGGAACTAATCATTTGAATTATTACAATTGATTCCCCAACTTAATAGTGTATGATTTGTTCATTTGAATGAGATTTGTTCTTTTTGAAGAGTAATTATATGAAGAATTTCTGATTCTTTCATAGAGGATTAGAATATTGGAACTAATCATTGCTGTCAACACAACACTTCAGCGTTTGTTTTTAATTTTTTCATAGTCAGTTGAAACTTTCTTAATTGAGAAAATATTGAAGATAGTTGAGTAAGACTTAAATTGTCTCTTATAATTCAATTCTGTGGGGAGGATTTGAAGACTTTTTAGTTAACAGTACACAGATAAAAAAGACAATAATTGTTGCGTACAATAATTGTCAAGAAATGTACAATAATTGTTGCGTCATAAATGACAATAATTAATTTTCTTTTACAACTTGGTAGTCCCCAAAAATATATGCATAGATTGGAATTTACGCCAACCTTATCCAGACACACTGTCAAGATGGAAAAAGCAACTTGCACATTGTACAACAACAACAACAACAACAACAACAACAACAACAACAACAACAACAAAGAAAAAAAAATCAATGTCTTAACCCAAAAAAAAAGTTGGAAAAGGCAAGTTAAAAGGTGATATGTGTGTGTGTGTATGTGTGTGTGTGTATATATATATATATATTGATAATTTAAAAGGTGATATGGTTCGTTTATTTTACTGATTTGAGTTTTATTACAGTAAAAAGTTCTCTGAAACAATCACAACTAACTTTTTTGCTAGAATAAAAAGTTTTCACATAAAGTTACATCTTAACTCAAATTAAAAACTTGAATCAACGAACTAAACGGGCCCTATATTTATGTCATCAACATCAATAATTGTACATTTCCTTACTACAAAACAACTAATCACATTAAATGATTGCATAAAAAATCACATTTAAAGATTAAATGGTGGTTCTATTCAATCATCTCTAAGTATTTTTCATATCCTTTTTAAAATATACACTAAACATAATTTTTAAATGATTAAAGTTACTTTCTGCACACTCCTATTATTACAAAATTATCCTTAACTATATTCATAAAATTAGTTGGTTTTGACCAATTCATTTTTCTTTTCACACCAAATCAATTCATTTTCATTTGTTATCTTAGTATTGTCATTTATCTTTTTTTTTTTTTTTTGAAGCTTCATGTACAACGCCTTTTCTGTACATATAAAAATTTCAGAAAAATAAAATACATTTATTAAATAAAATTTACTATTACATTACTAAAACCAACGTGAAATTTTTTTTTCTCCGTATTTATGAATGTTTTATTAGCTCCCCAAAGGAAACAAAATAATATAAAAAGAGACCTAATGCAAAAGTTTAAAGTGATCAAAATCAAAATATAGACATTTATATATTAGTTCACTAACTTATATGTATGATCTGTGCATTACTGATCTTAGAAATATTCCTAAAGGAAAAATTTTAATTAAAATTAATATTTAGGAATGTAATAATAAAATTTCGACAATAAATGCACTCTACTTTTCTAAGAGAATGTAATAGTAAATTATTTTAATTTATCAAAAAAAAAATCTTCATTTCTAAAGTTTAAATAAAAAGATAGAGAGATAGAGAAATGATAATATTAAAGTAACTAATTAAAATAAAATGATGGATGTGAAAAGAAAAATGAAATAATCAAGAATTAATAAACTTACGGAAATAGTTAAGGGTAATTTTAAAATAATAGGAGTGTTTAAAAAGAATTTAATCTTTTTATTATAAAACAAATGAAAATAGCACAAAAATAAACTACAAATTAAGCATAAATAAAAGAGAGACACAAAAAAAAACAAAGAGACTATCTTTTTATATTATTTCTTTCACTTGTAACAGGTGTGTTCAAAACAAGCTCGCATAACTTTTAGGGAGAAAGAGAAAAATAGGCCAAGACTTGAGATGAATTAAAATTAATAGGCCAATAGTTTACATATGTTAATAAATAGGCCAAATTACTGTTTTCGTCCATAATTTGTCTGGTTATGAACCATAACTTGACAAGTTATTGTCCATAATTCACGGTTTTTATCCATAACTTGTCTGGCTATGAACCATAACTTGACAAGTTTGTCCATAACTTATCTGGTTATGAACCATAACTTGACAAGTTATGGCCTATTAATTTCTATAACTAAAAATTGGCCTATATACTTTCTTAAGCTTTTCATATTGACCTATTTTCTACTATTTCCCTAACTTCTATTTATAAGCTAGGAATCATGAGTAAAGATAGACCAATAGACACAAGTTACATGAGTTACATACAATATTAAGATGGGAATTATGAAGAGATAATACACAACATTAAAAGAGGAATTATGAAGAGATAATGGAATCTAAATTAGAGGTTATGGAATAACAAGAGGTGACATCCACACTTAATTAATTTACAACACTTTTGAGAATTATGTTGGGTGTGAAAAGTAAATAAGAGTGTGTAATAACACCAACCATGATCATATCATAAAATATTAAGTTGGGGAATCAACCGCCTTAAAAATAGTGAATCACAAAATTAAAATGAACAAATTATATAAAAGCTCAAAGGCTTCATGAAAAAATAGTAAAACTTAAAGGAGCGCTAATTGTAGACATTTGTTTGTCTCATCGATAAACTTACATTAACGCCTTGTTAATGCCAAATGTCTCTCAATTTCATGAAAGAAAGAAGACCACAAAACAAGCCCATTCTTTTGCAGCATTTTACAAGAGTATCATGATGGTATTTTTAAAATCATGAGATAACTTTTTAATATTTTTCGAACAACAGGGTACCAATGTAATACTACATTAAAACACATGATACAAAAGAAGAGTGTAACAACCCGCATCTTCGATCGGTCAGTATGGAGTTCAAATTTAATGTGCAATTTGTTAAAATTGAAAGTTCGAAGTGCATTCTGCGAAAAGTGAATAATTTAGGAAGCAACGTTACAATTTACTCTTTCAAAATCTGTTGAGTTAGATTTTAATTAGCTCTGCATCCTATATATGGAGATTTTGATTCTTTAATTTTTCCTATTTTAGAACCAATAAATGATCTTAGTTACAATATACTTTTTGCATAATAAAACATAAAATCCATAATTGTCAAAAGTGAAAGTGGATAAATCATAAACTTTTTTTTTAACTATGAAATGTATACTATATATAATACAACATACTCTTAAGTGCTATATTTAATCAAGTAGTGGTATATGAACTGGAGGAAGGGAGTTCTGGTGAATATCGAAAGATGGCGATTGGTTCTGCACATTGGAGGAGTCTTTCGCTTTATGCACTCCTTTTGATGGTCTTGGTAATTATAATTATTGTTTCTTTATATATATATATATATATATAAAACGTTTACATGTTCTAATACGATCAAATAATAAACATGCCCATAGTGAATTAGAAACTTTCTGGAGGAGTACTACTTTTCAATTTTCTTCTTCAAGCATGTAAATTATTTCCCAGATTCATATATGTTACTTGCTATTTATTAATGTTTCTGCAGATTTCTCGTTGTATTGATGGCAAAAAGGACATGAATCAACAGCTAGTTGACGAATTTGATCGCAAGCATGACGGTGATGATCATCAAAATATTGATTATGTCGAAAGATTAAGAATGAAAGGAGCAGAACATATGAATCTTCATGCTCATAATATCAATCCATCATCCTCACTTTTCTTCAATCTGAACGACCTTGAAGTGGGAAAAACAATACCCTTCCATTTTTCAAAAAAACTCACGTCAAGTTCCCATTTTTTACCAAGAGATGAAGCTGATTCAATTCCTTTTTCTTTAAAACAACTCCCTAGCCTTGTCAAGTTGTTCTCTTCCCCTCAAGGATCTAAACAAGCCAAAGCCATGGAAGACACACTCCGAGCCTGCGAGTGTCCTCCTATCAAGGGAGAGACCAAATTTTGTGCCACTTCCTTGGAATCCATGCTTGATTTCGCACTCCGTATCTTCAAGTTGGACAACTCTGGTGATCATGAAAATCACCCCACTCCTCTAACATCCAGCTTTCACAGTGCAACTAGTTACAGTGAAACCAGTACTACTAGTTTCCAAAATTACACCATTATGGAAATGCCTAGAGAGGTTTTAACCTCTAAGATGATAGGATGCCACACCATGCCTTACCCTTATATCGTCTTCCATTGCCACACCCAGGAAGGGGGAAGCAAGGTGTACAAGATTTTATTTCGCGGCGAAAATGGAGACGTACTTGATGCTGTTGCGGCTTGTCATCTGGACACCTCGGACTGGGACCCAAATCATGTATCCTTCCGCGTGCTTGGGATTGAGCCTGGAAATCCTGTGTGCCATATCTTCCCTCCGCATGGTAATCTCTTATGGGTTCATCACACACCTACGACGACTTCCGGTTAACTAATATGTGTTGGTGTATTCACTTGTACGTCAATATGCTTTTGAATTAAATTAATAATCCTAGTGTATGTATGTAAAAGCAGTTGATTTGAATGAAAAAAATAATAATAATAAGTTCTTATTAATTATTTCGCGTCATAACTATAATTCTACAGACATGGGTGCAAACGTTTTAAGTGAATTATGGTGAATTTGAAAATACTGGAGAGTTTGGGGACAAAAGAGAAGCTCTAGAAGTGTTTTATCCACTCAAAAATTTGCCAAGTTTGAATTGCAATAAGTTCGGCAGCAGATCACGAAATTTTGTTGATCTTCAAACCATTCTCTCTCTCTCTCTCTCTCTCTCTCTCTCTCTCTCTCTCTCTCTCTCTCTCTCTCTCTCTCTCTCTCTCTCTCTCTCAATGTCACTATGCATACCGACCATAGCCCGCAGGTCGCTGCCTCTCGTCACTCGCGCTGGCCACCAACAATGTCCACAGATAACTCTGCAAAATAATGTTATTTTTAGCACTTTTATGCGAGAAAATCATCTATGTTCATGAGATTTTGAATTATTTTAATTTATTTGAATTATTTTTATCTAATTTGCATTTTAAATTAACTTTATCGCTTGTTCTATTTGCATTTTATTTTTATTTTCTAATTATTTGATCTTTAATTACTTTTTTATTTAGATTTCTCTCTTAGTAATTTGTGTAGGTAGATTAGGTGAAGAGGGCAATTGTAGCAATGTTAAGTTTAAATAAAATAAAGAGGTCAATACAAAGTATTAAAATGGATCAAAAATAATAGTTTGTTCTTTTGCATGACTTAAGTTGTATATGTGAGAGAAAAATATTGTAGTAAAAGAGTTGAATTTGAATTTTTGTAAGAGAAAACATTGTAATAATATGACTTAAGTCATCAAATGGACATACCCAAAAGAGACCAAGACCATACTTAAAAAATAAAAAAAAAATAAAAAAAAGACTTGAGTTGTGTATGTGAGAGAAAAGCATTGTAGTAAAAAAGTTGAATTTAAATTTTGTGAGAGAAAACACTGTAGCAATATGGCTTGAGGCATTAAATGAACATCACTGTAGTAAAAAAGTTAAATTTGAATTTTTGTGAGAGAAAATACTGTGGCAATATGACTTGAGGCATTAAATGAACGAAAATAGTAGGAAATAGGCCAATATGAAAAGCTTAAGAAAGTATATAGGTCAATTTTTAGTTATAGAAATTAATAGGTCATAACTTGTTAAGTTATGGTTTATAACCAGATAAGTTATGGACAAACTTATCAAGTTATGGTTCATAGCCAGACAAGTTATAGACAAAAACCGTTAATAACTTGTCAAGTTATGGTTCATAGTTATAGACAAAAGCAGTAATTTTGCCTATTTATTAACTTATGTAAACTATTGATCTATTAATTTTAATTCATCTCAAGTCTTGGCCTATTTTTCTCTTTCTCCCTTAAATGAATAGACTGTAGTAAAAAGTTAAATTTAAATTTTTATGAGGGAAAACACAGTAGCAATATAACTTAAGTCATTAAATGAACGTACCCAAAAGAGACCCAGACCAGACTTAAAAAAAAAATATGACTTGAGTTGTATATGTAAGAGAAAAATATTGTAGTAAACAAGTTGAATTTGAATTTTTATGATAGAAAATATTGTAAAAATATGACTTGAGTCATCAAATGAACATATCCAAAAGAGACCCAGACCAAACTTAAAAAAAAAAACACTTGAGTTGTATATGTGAGAGAAAAATACTGTAGTAAAAAAATTATATTTAAATTTTTATGAGAAAAAATACTATAGTATATGACTTGAGTCATCAAATGAACACGCCTAAGAAAGACCCAAACCATACCAAAAAAAGAGACTTTCTGCCACACGCGCAGCCCTTCGTGTGCTTTGACTTGTGTTTCCTTGCCGACGATCTACACGATCATCTGTCTTGACTCTGAGTTCACGTCAGTCGTCAAAAGCATGTCTAAGTGCTCCTTTTATTTTTAGTTTTAATCTTAGCATTTTATTTTTCCACAAAATCTCAAGGAGAGGGCTTCTTAAAGTAACAAGAACAAGGAAAGAGGAGAATGGAATTAGAGTTTGGAGAATTGTGACACCTCTACATAAGTTTTTCATTCCTAGTTTGTTATATTTTATTTTTGTTTTTTTAGAATGTTTGAGCACTTGATTTGTAGTTAATTATTTTTCTTTATGGAATAGTTTAATTGTTCTACGGCTATGATGTAGCCAAGTCCCAAGCTATGAATACTTGAATATTTCCTATTTGGAATTAATTTATGGTTTATTCCCTTACTGTTGAGTGTTTCTTTTGTATGCTTAATACATGCGAACGTTTGGTTATCATTTTCATGATTAGGGATTTAATTAGAGACTAGAAGTGATAACTGCTTAAACCTATTTATGAAATTCAATGATAACTCTGTAGGATAGAGATATCTATGGACTCGTGTAATTTTATTTGTGTCTCGTTATTCTTAATGAATTCTGAGGGGTTTACGTGTTACAATATTTTCTTAATACTCGAGAGAGATTAAAGGATACATTGAGGGAACTCAACTATCAACAATAAGGAATAGTTATTAAGACAATTAAAACATTTATGAACGACTAGCTATGATGAATCAGAATGATCCTTTAACCTCAATTTTATTGTTAGATTATTTTCCTTTATTTACTTTAATTAGTCATCTTTTTTGTTGGTTCTAACAATTTTGGTCTTGGACCATAATTAAACGCAATCCTTGTAGAATGATATATTTTTCTCACTATTTTATTACTTTTCACAACTCGTGCACTTGCAAATTCGATAAACATCATCGATGATGAAGAAGTTGCTGGTCTTCTCTCTTTCTCTTCAGATAAACTATTATCTCGTTCGCTTCTCAATTTGAGCTAAGATATGACATTTTCTTAAAACTTTTAACTGTAGTAGAAAAAATTAGATAATGACATTTTTTGATAGCTTTTACCGGTAAAAACTTAAAACTGAAAATTCAAAGTTCTTTGCATGGAAGGGGGTAGAGTGCATTGTGCCATGGAGGTTCAATCTCGTGTTGGACGTCGCATATAGGAAAAGAGACCAACATTAATATGATTTTAATATGATTTTGTCATTTTAATATTCCAGTATACACTATTATCAATGTTTGATTCTCCAACTCTTTTTGCTCAATTGATTCTCCAACTTAATATTGTATGAATTTGTTCGATTGAATGTGATTTGTCTCTGCATAGATTCCCACAATTTTCTTTAGTTTTAAATTATTTAACGATAGTAAGAACTTTGACTAAAATAGGGAGAGAGATCACAACTAACTATGTGGGGTAATAATTTTTCTGAATCCAGCTACAGAACCACATGTGCACTGTCTTTTTCACCGACATATAACACAACTAATTAAGCATTCATGCATATTCAGCCAAAAAAAAAAAAAGCATTCAGCGTGATGAAACGCATTAGCAATTATTTATTTCTAAAAGTACCTTAGTACCTTAGTATATCATAATCATGGTGGTTGTCTGATTGATTCCCACGACCAATTTTATAACATTTATTCAATAAAATGTGATTTTTTATACAATCATTTAATAAAAGTTCAATGATAGGTATCCTGATCATAGAAAATGCAATTTAACAAATTTTCTTTTCCAACATGCTAGTGCAGAGATAAGATCAGCGTATATTCCCATTATTAAACTGGTTCACTGGTTCTTAATTTTCTTTAGCTTTGTTTATTTGACTGTGGTTTATTAGGTTAAAAAAAATATATGGGTGTCATTTAAGTTTTTTTTTTTAATATATATATATGTTTTAATACGTACCTTTAGTATTCAAATTGATTAATTTTTCTTATGTTTTTCTGCGAATTTTACTATATCTACACATTTTATGTTAAATTAAGAAGAAAAAAAAACCATAAAGGCGAGTAAAGGGTCGTTACATGTAGATATTGGAATACATATTGCATATTTGTTTTTGCAAGTTAAATGTTGAAAAGGACAAAGAGCTAATTCATGTAAAAACACACTGACAATAGTGTAAAATGAGAAAAAAAAAATTAATAATCGATAACGAGCTAATTGAACCGTTCATTAACATTCAATCCACAAATTGGACATGTATCATTGACAAGACGTTATCATACATCTGATTGATCGGATGAGCCAACATTTTCAATTCTCACTCCTCAAAGATTTAATTTAATATGATTTGGTAATTTTAATATTGCAGTACACCATCCATTATCAACAGTTGATTCTCCAACTTAATAGTGTATGATTTGTTCATTTGAATGTGATTTGTTCTTTTTGAATGGCAACGGTATGAAGAATTTTTAATTTTTTCATAGAGTATTACGATGTTGGAACTGATCATGGTTGTCAACACAACACTTTAAAAATTTATTCTTAATTTTTTCATAGTCAGTTAAAGTTTTCTTAATTGAGAACATCTTAAAGATAGTTAAATAAGGCTTAAACTGCCTCTTATACTTTAATTTTGTGGGGAAGATTTAAAGACTCTTTATTTGGCAGTACACACATAAAAAAGACAATAATTGTTGCATACAATAATTGTCAAGAAATGTACAATAATTGTTGCGTCATAAATGACAATAATTAATTTTCTTTTCCAACTTGATAGTCCACATATAATATCTGCATAGGTTGGAATTTATGCCAACCATATCCATACACTGTCAAGATGGAAAAAGCAACTTGCACATACTGTCAACAAAAAAAATAAATAATAAAAAAAGTCAATGTTTTATCCCAAAAAAAAAAACTTGGAAAAGGCAAGTTATGTGTGTGTGTGTATATGTATATTGATAATTTAAAAGGTGATATATTGTATTTATGTCATCACATCATTTGCATGATTAGGGATTTAATTAGAGACTAGAAGTGATAATTGTTTAAACCTATTTATGAAATTCGATGATGACTTTGTAGGATAGAGATATCTATGGACTCGTGTCTCGTTATTCTTAATAAATTTTGAGAGGTTTACGTGTTACAATATTTTCTTAATACTCAAGAGAGATTAAAGGATACATTGAGGGAACTCAACTATCAACAATAAGGAATAGTTATTAAGACAATTAAAACATTTATGAACGACTAGCTATGATGAATCAGAATGATCCTTTAACCTCAATTTTATTGTTAGATTATTTTCCTTTATTTACTTTAATTAGTCATCTTTTTTGTTGGTTCTAACAATTTTGGTCTTGGACCATAATTAAACGCAATCCTTGTAGAATGATATATTTTTCTCACTATTTTATTACTTTTCACAACTCGTGCACTTGCAAAGTGTCGTGTTGACCTCCTTAGTTGACACGAATAGGCCTGACACGAACACGACCCGTTTATTAATCGTGTCGAAATACAAAACCCAAACACGACTTGTATATTGGCGTGTTGACACAACACGATACGAATAACCCGTTTATTAAACAGGTCATAAACGTGTCGTGTCAACCCGTTGATTACCTGTCAATCCGTTTATAAAATGGGTGATAAATGGGTCGTGTTAACCTATTTATGAACCTATTTTTGAACATATTTATAAAATATGTGATAAATGGGTCGTGTTAACCTATTTCTAAATATATTTTTGAACATGTTTATAAAATGGGTAATAAACGGGTTGTGTATTCGTGTTACCCAAATATGACACATTTAATAAACAAGTTATGGCGGGGGGATTGTGGGGTGGGGGGGGGACCCGGAAATGACACATTATTTAATCGTGTTTCACGGGTTTGACATGATTTTGACCCGGACCTATTTATGATAAACTCAAACCCGCTAATTTCGTGCGGGTTTCGAGTCGTGTCGTCGTATCGCTACCCGGATTGCCAGTCCTATATTTTTCTCACTATTTTATTACTTTTCACAACTCGTGCACTTGCAAATTCGATAAACATCATCGATGATGAAGAAGTTGTCTAATCTTCTCTCTTTCTCTTCAAATAAACTATTATCTCATTCCCTTTTCAATTCGAGCTGAGATATCACATTTTCTTATAACTTTTAATTGTAGTAAAAAAAATTAAATGTGACATTTTCTGAGAATTTTTAACGGTAAAAACTTAAAATTGAAAATTTAAATCAGTGAAATAAACGAGCTTACATAATTGTGTTTCCCTCGTGAGAGGTAGGAAAAAAAAAATAATAGTCCACTGCGGTCTCTGCTGGTTTTTGGACTTTTTCTGGTGAACTGTACATCATTTGAAGAAGACGTCACCGAAAGCATGTTCTCCACCCTTATATCTTTGAGATGGCAACAATCTCCACCGTCAACTACCCTCGGGTTGTGGGTCAATGCCTATTGTGTGAAACCCCTGAAAATTTTGAAATGTTTAATTTTAGTTAGGATTTACAAGTACATTCAGTTTAATTAATTTAACATCAAAATGATTGACAGTGAATACCGATATGCTAATGTAAAGAGTTCAGGTCTTGATGATTCTATGTTATTATTAGGTTATGTCTTAAATTAACATCACCAGTAGAAATAGTATATTAGATGACGGTTAATAATTATCGTTAAAAATTATGAAGACGGTTTAAAAATCTTCATCTTATCTATAGTCATTAAATGTCAGTCGTTTAAAAAACCGTCGTCTAATATGTGTGTAAAAGTCCAGTGGAAGCACTTTAAGCGACGGTTTTATAGAAACTGTCGTTAAACGTGCTACTTTTAACGATGATTTTTGTAAAAACTGTCATTAAATGTGTAAATTTAATGACTAATTTGGCAAAATTCGGCGTTAAATCTCTAGGTTCACGGAGCTCTCAACGAAGTTGTTTAGGTTCTAAAATTCAATCTCTAGTTGAAGATGGACTACAATTTTGTGTCTAATCTTTTGTTTTATTTTCTTTTATAATTTTATGAAATTAGTTATGATGTACATTTTTAATATTTCCCGGCTACCAATGTAACCATAATAATAAAAACCCTAATTTCAATATGTAGAAAAAGAAAAAAAAAAGTTATTATCATTTTGGTTCTTATAGGATAATAATAAGAGACAAACAGGTTAATGGAAAAATAAATTAGACAGTAGGAACTGGCAAATACAAATTACAACAACAAAGTAGGTAAAAAAATATAAGAACGAAATTTGAAATGACACGTTGAAATTGAGGCCCGTGTACCACACGATGTCTTTAAAACAGATTGATCCTTCACCGTTGGTGCTTGAGGATCTCCGGCGTCTGTCTCTTTAGATACAACGGTCAACGAAGAGCAACAATGCATAACGAAACTTCTCCGGTGAACTAAAAAAGTGCCCAAACTCTATCACTCTAAGATTGCCTAACAACTAGAATGATCTGAGATACTCTTAAGATTTCTTTGGTGTGTCAAAACAATGAGAAGGGACACCAATTTATAATCATTCAGAGGTGGCTGTTGGAGTTTTCCGCATTCAATTCCGGATTGAATTCCATAATTCACATCTGATTAATTCTCCATTAATTCAAAACCATTTGAGGCTTAATTCCGGTATTAGCTGTCATTTATATCGTCAGTTTTTGAGCTGGTAAAAATTAACGGAAGTGGTGAAAATAAGCCTGCGCGGGCCAGTCTTCTAGAGCGACATTCGTGCATTTTGAGCATCCATTTTTCATTCACTCAAGTACCATTTTGAGCAAAAAAAAATACTGTTTCGAAGATCTCACGAAGGAGAACTCAGTATCCACTTTGATCTTTCACAAAGACAAGTGGAGCCCACTCAAAATATAACTTCAAAATGTCCACTTAATATGGTTCATAAATTATGTTTTTCCAACGGTTTTAATCTGATATCACATTGGTATCTTATTATTTGGGAAAATATTAAAAAGGTAACTTGTGGTTTTCAAAAATACCACTTTCGGAACTCTGAGCTCGTGTTTTAGAACATGAAATTTTTAGCTTACCCTTTTGTCAATAAACCCCAAATTAATTTCATAATATTATTATATAAAACTAAAGATTAAAAATTAAAAAAAATATGAAGAAAGTCACTTATACATCACAAAGAGTGGCTCTGAGTACCATGACGTCATTTTTAAAAACCTAAAGGCACTTTTTATTATTTTATAATTAACAAGATTCCATATGATGCTTTGTTAAATTAGAGGTTACCAAAATAAAAAAATAATAATAATTAAAAAAAAGATGCAGCGACTCTTACAATCTCTTTAGAGTGGCTAGCCATCACATCTCTATCTCTCTTGCATATGAGTTTTTGTAAGTAAAATGTTGTGGAATAAAGAGGAAAAAAAAAAAGATGTTGGTTGAATAAAAAGACGGTGGCAATCTTGTAAAGTGTTTTAGGAAAAATTTTTGTTTTGTGATCTCTTTTGTTTCATGAAATTGAGAGAGATATGAAAGTTAGCAAGACATTAACATCCTCCTGATTGATCAGACAGACCAACTTCTGCAATTTTACACTCCTCTATTTTCTAATCTCATTTGGTCACTTTAATATTGTAATACACTATTTTCAAGATGGCTCATTCCCCAACGTAATATTGTATGAATTAGTTATTTGGATGTGATTTTTTTATACCGTCATTTTAATGATTTCAGTTCTTCTATCATAAAAAACTGTATAACCCATATATATATATATATATATATATATATATATATTAAATGTTTGCCTCTCCAAACCCATTACTATACCTTGATTGAGCGAGCTAGAAACTAGAAAGTAAGAGATAGGAAGAGCTATGGAGGGAATAGATCATCATGTGGACGAAATGCAAAGAGGCCAAGCAGACATTTGGCAAGTGATGTACAGCCATATGGATTCGTTGGTATTGAAATGTGCTGTGGAGCTCCGAATAGCCGATATTATTCATTCCCACGGTTGCCCCGTCACTTTATCCCAAATAGCTTCCTCTATTTCTGGCTCAACCTCTCCAAACATCCACTACCTCGAACGCATTCTGAGACTGCTTGTTTGCAAGAAGATCTTCACCGCACATCGCGATGATCACGACTCCTCAAGTGGTGATCATCCTCATCATCATCAGACTCGATACGGGTTGACCGAAAAATCGAGATGGATACTGTGGGAGTCAGAGCCGAGCTTGGCACCCGTTATAATGATGCAAAATCGACGGCTGGTAATTGACGCATTTGATCACCTTAGTGACAGCGTCAGACACGGTGTTGTTCCGTATAAGGCGGCCTTTGGCCATGATTTCGTTGGAGAATCAACAGTGGACCCCAAGAGCAAAAAGTGGTTCAAAGATGGAATGATCAATTTGGCCAATATGGTGATGGATCCAGTCTTATCAGCTTTAAAAAATGAGTTTAGTTGCATGGGATCATTGATCGATGTCGGAGGTTTTACAGGTGAGACTATTTATGAGATTGTGAAAGCTCATCCGCATATCAAAGGCTTTAACTTTGATTTGCCAGATATTATTGCTATGGCTCCTTCATACGATGGAGTCACTCACGTGGCAGGAGACATGTTTGAGGCTATTCCCTGCGCAGATGCCATTTTTATGAAGGTAATACAATCAAGGGTTATCTAAAAGCAAAGAAAGTGAAAGATTAAAAAAAAGAAAAAATGGGCAGGTCTATTTTGCTTTTTGTTTAATTTTTCTTTACTGATTGAACCAATTTTTTTTTCTTCTGAACTTAGAGGTGGGAAATTCGAACTCTTCATTTTATTATGGAGTTAAGTGTGATATTACCGTTAGGATATACTTACAATTAAAAAAAGTAATCAGATAGAAAAGCTAATAGGGTAGTAATTAAAACACATAAAAAGGTAGAAACATAATTTTGAGCATCAATCTGCTTTGTAATCCATCCTTCTCCTTTGGCCATGGGTGGACCTCTCACTCATGTTCTGCTCTTTTGTTTTACTTTTTACCTTTTCTTATTTCAGAGTTATTTTGCTTTTTTAATCCTTTTATTACGATATACTTCTACATACTTGATCTTATTTTCCAGCGTATTGCTCGTTATATGAAATATTATCCTTTTATTTTTCCTTAACTCGCGCACTAAAACAAATTTTTTCTCATATTAAGTAGTTTTTTACACTATTTTTTTTCGAAGTTCTCTTTTATAAGACGTCATATATGCTTACTTAATACATGCAGAAGGTGCTTAATAATTGGACTGATGAACAATGCATCAAGATTTTAAGAAATTGTCGCCAATCAATACCAGAGAAGACTGGCAAGGTCATTATTGTGGATATCGTTTTGGAGTCATTGGAAAGCAATGATGTTGTCTTCTTATATGATGAAATGCGGATAAGATTTGATTTGGGTTTGTTGGCATTTCGTGGTGTTGGAAGGGAGAGAACCGAGCTTGAGTGGAAGAAGCTGTTAGAGGAAGCAGGCTTCCCTCGCAATAAAATCATCAGGATTCCAGCTATGCCCTCAATTATTGAGGCCTATCCAGTTTAAGTTGTGTTATGATGAAATTCCTAAGTGTCACCTTTTTCGAGGTTAAGTTTGTCATTTTATTCATACCCAATAATCTTATAATAATTTTGAATAAGGAGTGTACTAATAAAATTAAAGACTGGTTTAATTTATCGAATTAAATTTTCAATTTGAATTGAAATTTAACTTTATGTGAAAGTTTTTAACTGTAACAGAAAAATTAAATGTAATTTTATATAAGAACTTTTAACTATAACAAAACTGAAACGGTGAAATGAACGAGGCATAAGATTTTTAGATCGAGCGGGTTTATTTTTATAAAATCATTTCAAATCCTCTACGCTAGCTAGGTTTAGTTGTACTTGAATGGACTGATTTATTTTGTACAAGTGTCCAAATTCATGCTTGAAAATATACAAAGATGTATGGATCTTTTTTTTTTTTTTTTTGTAATTTACTAAATTATTTTTTATTTTAATTTTTAAGAAAACAAATGGTCAAGCATCTCTGATCTCGGCACAAGTCGCCAAAGAATAATTATGTAGATTACTTTCTGTAATCTACCAGATTATTCAATATTTTTCTATACAATTACCTAGTGGATGTTTGGTTCGTATATTCAGAATCATGATTCAGAACCATTCTCGTTTTACGTGTATTTTTTGTGAGAGAAAAACACTGTAAAGAATCATGAATCATGATTCAGAATCATGGATGAATACAGTAAACAAACATCCTCCTAGTTCCACAATACTATCCAAAAATAAAAAGATTACTAAGTGAAACACAAACCAAAGATTGAACAATAAAAATTTCTGAACAATCAAATCTGAAAATCATCGATACTAAAAAAATTCCAAATCAATATCGATACCAACAAAATTGTAATACCTGAGATTTAATTAAGCCTTAAGCCAATAATAAATAAATTTAGTAAATTAAAATCATGCACTACATTTACTATTTATCTCAAAGTTATTTCTTGGCATTATATTTTGTTATTTAGCTATCATATGATTTTATTAAACTTATAGCTTTCTTAATCAAGTTTTTAGTTTTAATGTGCAGTACAACTAGCTCGATGTGGGAACTCAATATGCTAAACTTATGAAGAAAAAAATGATATTTATTATGATTATTTAATATGATATTTTACCTCTATTATGATTGATTTAATGATGAATTATTATTTTATATTTTATTATATGGTTTTAGTAAATGTGTTGAGGACTTAGTTGTTATTTTGAGTTTTTGTGAGAGAAGGCTATGTTAGCAAATAACTTTAGGCACCTAATTGAAGAAGAAAAATAGAAACTTTAGAGCTGATTTTATGATGTTAGGACAGCTGTTAGAGGCTTAGAAAAACCTAGACACTTGTCCTACTATAAGGTCACTTTACTTTTGCTTGGTTTCTATCATGTTTAGACTTCATTTTTTGGTCTATTTCAGCAAAAAGCCTAGAACTCCGACTATAATATTTTCTTCTCTCTTCTCACTCATTTTCTCACCCAAAACTCAGAATCAACCTGTCACGCCCCCCAAACGGGGTGGGTGACGTGGAGCTCGATTAGGGGTTAATAAAGCAGATTCCCAGACGAGCCTCACTCGACTGAATTAAAATATAAATTAACCTACAGAATCCCGAGCCTCTGACAACACACAGGGCTCCACCCACAGGACATACAGTATCGTACATACATGAACATGTAAGTAATCATTACAATAGACATCAACCACAGTCTAGTTAATCCAAATATTTCATAAGTTTACAGAATTTCTCAAATTCCTTACATTTATCCAAGAGGATGTATCCTCACTTGATTCCAACAGCAGCACAACTCAGCTGCTCTGTAGCAATTATCCAGCTACTGTGCACCGCTCCTAGAATCTCCTGGGAGGGGTTTAATACATTTAAAACATAAAACGTGAGCGAAAGGCCCAGTAGGATATAATTTGAAATAAACGTTATAAATAAATGAATAAGTGAAAAAAATAACACAATCAGTTCCAACAGACAGTCGAATCCTCACATCTTTTTTCTCAAAGGAAATATAACTGAAAATAACCGTTTTACAGGCTTCAGCAAGTAATTAGTACAAATTACTTACCTAACCAAGTGTCTCGCCTACCCGGACCGAGTTTCGGGTTCTGCCCCCGAGGATGCACTCTCCGCATCCTATCTAGGCTTATAGTAATAGACTATATTACCAGTTCACAAGATCTCTTTGCTTAAAAAATCATTCATTAACTTTTCTGAAATCGTTTTTATGACCCCACGAACTACTCAAGCCGCGGGCCCCATGACTGGGCAAGCCATGAGGTTCCATGACTAAACAAGCCATGGTTTTCAAAGCATTTTTCTTTCACAAGCCATTCCCTTTCTTTAATACATTTTCAATGCCAAAATCCTTTTAAAAATAGGCTCACAAGGAAAAGGGATAGAAATCCTACCTCGCACTATCAAACCTGGGACTAGCGTTGCCCTTTCCGGCTTCCGCTTCCTCAAGCCCCTTCAGTCTAAATCCTCAGGGATCATTGATGCAAGACAACACTTTAGGATTAATTCTCATTCCTAAAGCAATCCAAATCTCAATTTCCAACCAAGATTTCCTATTAGTGTGCCCTAATCCATTTTCATGTTTCAAATTATCATTCCAAGGGTTTTCAATCTCAAAACAAGGATTAAAGATGCTAATCCATTCATCTCAAGTCCCCAAATGAAACTAATTTGGGTTCTCCCCGAAAACAAGGGTCAAAACAGCATTTTTCAGGCCAAACAGGGTCAAACCCGTGTGCACCAGTCGACCGGTGACAGAGCAGTGCAGCACTACCGGTCGAACGGTAGTGTGCACACCGGTCGACCGGTCAGCCTGTAATGCGGTCGATCGCATTGGTCGACCAGTTTTCATGTGATCCGGTCGACCGCACGGGTCGACCGGTGGAATCAGCTGCGCGAGAGAAGCTCACGGAAATCAGTCCAAAAACCTACAAATCCAGTCCTAAATTGAAATATTTCAAAGGAAAACCACTAGATCTAGGTTCTAGGTCCTAAAACAAGTCCAAAGAGCCCAAGATCTCCAATTTCTACTTTAGTTTTACTCAAAAACCATCAAAATTCGGTTTGAACCAAAAAAAAGTTTTGAAATTCAAACACTTGAGATTCAAGAGAGGTTCTTTCAGTAATCTTACCTCGAATCCTACTCTTAACGTTGAAAACTTCTCTAAATCTTTCTTTGGTTCAAGATCCGTTTGATTTGGGACAAAAATGAGAAAGAGAGATGCACGGGAGAGTGAGAGTGAGAGTGAGAGGGAGAGATGCACGGGAAGGAAAAAGAAAGGGAGAAAAGAAAAGAAAATGAAAAGAAAAGAAAAGGACATGTGTACAATATTTTAAAAGAGCAATCCAGAAATGCGCCCATACACACTTCTGGGTTAAAATAAATTACCGATAATAATTTAAATACCTTGGAACTATTTAAACTCACTCGTGTCAGAAACATTTATTAATTTATACTCAATTAATAATCCAGATTAGGCACACTAATAATCTCAATTACCTTAATTAATCTCAATTAATTCTTCAAGGTGTTACAGCTCCACCTCCCTTAGGCAATTTCGTCCCCGAAATTAAAGCCTACCTCTAAGTGTGAACAGATACGGATACTGCTCCTGCATCGTCGTTTCAAGCTCCCATGTCGCTTCCTCAACTCCATGGTGCTGCCATAATACTTTCACTAAGGGAATCTCATGATGACGCAGACTCTTTATTTTCTGATCAAGAATCTGAACGGGTGCCTCCTCGTATGATGCATCATACTGTATCGGAACGTCAAACCACTGCACTACAGCTTCCGGCTCAGGTTGACATTTCCAAAGCATGGAGACATGAAACACGTCATGCACGTGAGATAGTTCAGGCGGTAAAGCCAACCGATAAGCCACCACTCTGATTCGTTGCACGATCAAAAATGGTCCCACATACCTTGGTGCAAGTTTCCCTTTCACACCAAATCGAACAACTCCCTTGCGTGGGGAAACCTTCAGCAAGACAAAGTCGCCCTCTTGGAATTCTAAAGGCCTACGCCTTCTGTCAGCATAACTTTTTTGATGACTTTGAGCTGTCAACAGTCGTTCCCGAATCACAACTATCTTCTCATTATTCTCTTGAATGATTTCCGGTCCAGTGCTGAGTCGATCCTCTGGTTCCAACCAACACACAGGTGACCTACAAGGACGACCATACAGAGCTTCAAACGGTGTCATTCTAATACTAGCCTGATAGCTGTTGTTATAAGCAAACTCAGCTAGATGTAGGTATTTCTTCCAGTTTCCTCCAAATTCCAGAATACAAGCATGAAGCATATCCTCCAGAATCTGAATTACCCTTTCAGATTGCCCATCAGTCTGAGGATGGAATGCCGTGCTGAAATTCAAGTCTGTTCTCATGGCTTCCTGAAAACTCTTCCAATACCTTGCATTAAAACGCGTGTCACGATCTGACGTGATAGACAGTGGCACTCCGTGTAGTCTCACGAGGTGCTCCAGGTACAATTCTGATAGAATTTTCTGAGAATACGTCGCACGAAACGGTATGAAGTGAGCGGACTTTGTCAACCTATCCACCACCACCCATATGGCATCGTGCTTCAACTCGGTTCTCAGTAGCCCTATCAGAAAATCCATAGTTATGTGCTCTCATTTCCATCCAGGGACAGGAAAAGGTTGTAACTCTCCCGCTGGCTTCCGATGCTCAGCTTTAATCCGGAGGCAAGTCACACATTCTGAGACATACTCACGAACGTCTCTTTTCATGCTTCTCCACCAATACTGTCTTTTCAGGTCCTGGTACATCTTTGTACTTCTCGGATGAATAGCATACCTCGATTTATGTGCCTCTTACAGAATCGTCTTCTTTACCTCACCCGCCTTAGGAACAGCAAGGCGGTTGCAGAAATACAAGGCTCCATCCTCTCAGATTCTCCAATCCTCGAATTGCTCTCCATTCTGGATCAGAATCCAAATTCCTTGGAGGTGTGGATCCTGCCATTGATTTTGCTTAACCTGCTGCACAATATCCGGTGTAGAGATCAAATTGTACATCATAGCCTGGTTACGATCTTCGTAGAACTGAAGATCATACCCACTCACCACTTCAGTCCTTTTCCAATCTTCCAAAGCTAATGACGCCAGAGTCCCTGTCGTCTTCCTACTAAGGGCATCAGCCACCACATTAGCTTTTCCAGGATGATATTGCAGAGTGAAGTTGTAATCTTCCATATACTCCACCCATCTCCTTTGCCTGAGATTCAAATCTTTCTGAGTAAATAAGTACTTCAAACTTTTATGGTCAGAAAAGACCTGAAACTTTGCTCCATAGAGAAAACATCTCCATATCTTCAAAGCAAATATTACTGCTGCCAGTTCTAAATCATGAGTGGGGTAATTTCGTTCATGTGGTCTTAATTGGCGAAATGCGTACGCTACCACGCGTCCCTCTTACATTAAGACACAGCCAAGCCCACTCCCCGAGGCATCAGAATACACCTCTTATGGTTCCTCACTGTCAGGAATAGTCAAGACTGGTGCACTTGTTAGTCTGACCTTCAATTCCTGAAAAGCATTTTCACACTCAGCGTCCCACTGGAATCTGACTTCTTTCTTGGTCAACCAAGTCAGCGGTGCAGTAATACTCGAGAAGTCTTTCACGAAACGCTGATAGTACCCTACAAGTCCGAGGAAACTGTGAATCTCTGCTACATTCTTCGGCCTTTCCCACTGTAGCACAGTCTCGATCTTGGAAGGATCTACAGAAATTCCCTGTCCAAAAATCACATGCCTAAGGAACTTCACTTCTGTCAGCCAAAAGTCACACTTCTCCTTCTTAGCATACAACTGGTGTTCTCGAAGAGTCTGAAGAATAATTCTCAAGTGCTGCTCATGTTCTTCCCAAGTCTTCGAGTAAACCAGTATGTCATCAATGAAGACGATCACGAACCGATCCAAGTACGGCCGGAAAACATGGTTCATTAGATCCATGAATGCAGCCAGGGCATTCGTCAACCCAAAAGGCATTACAAGAAACTCAAAGTGTCCATATCGAGTTCTGAAAGCAGTCTTCGGAATGTCTTCCTCCTTGATTTTTAGTTGATGGTGCCCAGATCTCAAGTCAATCTTAGAGTAGAACTGTGATCCACCCAACTGATCGAATAATTCATCGATCCTTAGCAGTGGGTATTTGTTCTTCACAGTCACCCTGTTCAATTGACGGTAGTCAATACACAACCGAATAAATCCGTCGTGCTTCTTCACAAATAGCACCAGTGCACCCCAAGGGGAAGTACTATTCCGGATATATCCCTTTTCTGACAGCTCCTCAAGCTGCGTTCTCAACTCTTTCATTTCCACCAGAGCCATCCGATATGAAGGAATGGAAATAGGTGCCGTTCCCGGATCTAAATCAATACAAAATTTAATCTCCCGATCTGGCGGTAAACTAGGTAATTCATCAGGAAATACATCTGTAAACTCATCCACTATAGGGATTCCCGCACTATCTCCAATTACCTCAGGTTCACCTTCCAAAGCAAAAAGGGAAGAAAAACATGCTAGATTCATCCGTCCCCCAACACTGTATTTTAACAGTCGTTCTCCTAGGACTGGATTCATATATGCTCGATAAGAAATCACTGTTCCAGACTTAGTCATCAGAGTCACTCTCCTACGGTAACAATCAACAATTGCTATGTATTCCGACAACCAATCTATTCTGAGTACCACGTCAAACAAGCTCATCAGAAGAATAATCAAATCTGCTCTCAATCGCTCACCGCCAATCATGATTTCACACGATTTACATACACTCGTTACCTCCACACATCGCAGCGGAGAGTTTAAAGTCATCGAGACTTCTAAATTCTCAGATTTCAGTTTCAAAGTCTGTACAAAAGAACTTGATATAAACGAGTGTGTGGCACCTGTGTCAAACAACACGTGAGCAAAAGAATGAGAGATTAGAATCATACCCTCAACCACCGCGTTGCTGGTCTGACCTCCAGAACTGCCTCTTGCCATGGCATAAGCTTATCCATGTACTTTCCCTTTCCCTCTGTCACCAACATTAGGCCGTTGGGTCGGAGGCTTATACTGTTGTGGTGGAGGTGGTTGTACTGGTCTCAGCGCTTGAGGCCGGAATTATGTAAATAGAGGTGGTTGATAAGTCGGCACAGGAGGGTATGACATATGTTGTGGCTGATATGGTGGCATGTATTGTGATGGCCCTTCTTGACTGTAGGAAGCGTCACTTTGGGCTTGTTGAGCCGGCGGTCGATTAGGACAATTCCTCCTAATATGACCCACCTGCCCACAATGGTGACACCTGGGCCCGTATGGAGCACTTCTGTCACTTCCTGACGAACTACTGCCACCGCTAACCACTCCCCCACCAGGCTGCCCCTGGTTACGGTTCCTTCTACCACTCCGCTGTGGCCCGCCGGAAACAAATGGACCCCCAGAAACTGAAACTCTTCCAGCTTGTTCTTTACTCTGGTGATAAGCTATGTTATCCTACTCTACTCTAGTAGCAGCAGCCACCAAATCTCAAAAATTCTGGATCCTTAAAGCCACCAATGACCTCCTCACAGAATTCTTGAGACCCTTCTCAAACTTAAGACATCTAAGGTGTTCAGATTCTACCAAAGATGGCGCAAACCGGGATAGGTCAGTAAACTTGGCCTCATACTCCCTTACAGACATGTCACCTTGTAGTAGAGACATGAATTCCAATGTCTTTTCATCCCTATAACTCTGAGAGAAATACTGCTCATTGAACAGGGTTTCAAACTGCTCTCAGGTCAGTCCTGCAACATCCATTCTTCTCTTGACCTGTTTCTGTTGGGAATAGTGTCCTAGAAGCATGAGATGTAAAAGGATATTTATTATTTATTTAATAAAAGAGTTTATTCATCATTTTATGTGCATATATTTATGAATATTTTATGAATATCAAATAAAATTCCTTGGTTATTTATGTAACCTTAAACATGGTATATAA